CACACACACACACACACACACACACACACACACACACACACTCACACACATACTCACACACACACACACACTCACACACACACACACATATTTCAGAGTGCGCGCGCGTGTATGTGCACTATTTACCTAACAGGGAATATCGCGATCAGTCTAAGGAGCGCAGAAGAGGGGGAGAAGGCGAAGGGAGAGGGGGATGAAGAGGAAGACGCCGGGGAGGAAGAGGAGGAGGCAGAGGAGGAAGAGGAGGAAGAGGAGAAGAGGACAAGGAAGACGAGAACCAAGAGCAAGGAGAAAGAAGATGAGGCCCCAAAAGGAACGAACAGTAAACAGAAGAAGGAGAAGGAGAAGTAATCAGGAAGAGCAAAGGCGGAACACGTCAACAAAACGGTGATGTGTAAACGAGCAGATGAAGGGGAAAACCGGGGGAGGAGAAATAATGCGATGACAGAATCCGTCGACGGAGGATGAGCAGGAGGACACAAGGGAGAGAGAGAGAGAGAGAGAGAGAGAGAGAGAGAGAGAGAGAGAGAGAGAGAGAGAGAGAAGGAAACAAGAAGTGGGAATGGTTAAGTCCCTTCCAAACGCCGAGGTAGAAAATTGGCAAATGAAAACGTTAGCACATAAGCAGGTTGGCACATCATCACCAGGTGACACGTGGAACTTACACTGCGCATACTACAGGCGGCAAAGCGCTTTTGCCACGTGTACGACGTACAGCTCAGCTCGTGCATCAACCGTGCCACGTCCTATCACCGCGAACGAACCGAAGAAAGCGGCACGATACTCCAAAAGTTTGCGCGGATTGGGATCGACACCCACCAACCCTCCCCCGCTACTGGTATCGAGGGGAAGGTGGTAGGAGGAGAGTCAAGGCATCGCCCCCCCACTCTCGAAATGTGCAAATTGAGAATGAACATGTTGCTAGAACATGGCCAGATGCACCCGCCACAATTTTGTCTTTTCAACATTTCGAGAGTAGTGGTGGGGTGGCGAGGTCCTCACTAACGGGAGAGAAGGCGCGCACCACCGGCGGGAGTGGGCGGTCGGCGTGGCGGGAGCGAGGCGGAGTACCGCGCGGACCTGGAGCTCGGCGTCAACGATACAACCTGGGGGGCTGCTTCGGACAACGAGCCGAGAGCCCGAAGCGACCACCGCCACGAGTTTCGACACGGCATGTGCCCTGGGACTCGGGCTGTGGGACTTAGGCTTTGGGACTTGGGCCTTGGGCCTTGGGGCTTGGGCCTTCCCGCGGTCTTCCAGCGATTTCCAGAGGGAGAGAGAGGGCCTCGCCACTCCACTGTCGAAATGCGAAAAAGACAAAAACTTGGCAGGCGCATCTGGCCATGTTCTAGCGGAAAGTTCATTCTCAATTTCCACATTTCGAGAGTGGTGTGGCGACGCCCAGAGAGAGTCACGGTGAGACGGGGGCTGGTCTGCGAGTGCAGACTCGCATTGATTGCAATCACGGCCGGACGTAGACGAATGTGAAAACAAATCACGTCCACAGATAAGGGCCTCGCCACACACTCTCGAAATGTGCAAAATGAGAATGAACTTCCTTCTAGAACATGGCCAGATGCAATCGCCACATTTTTGTCTTTGGCACATTTCGAGAGTGGAGTGGGGGAGCCCTAAGTGGAAATAGTCCCTGAATGTAATGCGACCTCCTTAGGTCTACTCACGTAGGACTTTTCATGTGAGACTCTAAGGGCATCGCCACACCACTCTCGAAATGTGCGAAATGAAAACCCTTAGAACATGACCAGATGCACCCGTCACATTTTTGTCTTTTCCACATTTCGAGAGCCGTGTAACGAGACCTCCAGTCTTTCCTTTCCTTGGGCGAGTCAGATGGGGGGGTATGTGGACGGTCAACCCGTCAACAGGCGTCCTCCTGTCAAGGGTAGATGATGATGATGGGAGCTTTCGTTGTTTTTTGCTTCTTTTTCAACTACACTAAGAGGTGGACCCCACAGGTTTGCGGCAAAGGCCTTGAAAGGTTGTGGAAAGTTTTTGGGAAGAGGTGGACTCCACAGGTTTGTGGCAAAGGCCCGGAAAGCTTTTGGAAAGTTTTTGGAGACCCCACAGGCCCGTTTCTGTCGGGTTGGAAAGGAATAGAGGGCTGTTTCTACATGGGCCGCGCCCCAGGGTCCCCCTGAAAATCACCGGCAAGGCCGTCGCGGACGGCCAAACGGGAAGGGTAGGGTGGCCGGAGGCCTTCCGTCCACAAACGGAAGAAGCGGTAGGCGACGGCCAAACGGGAAGGGTAGGGTGGCCGGAGGCCTTCCGTCCACAAACGGAAGAAGCGGTAGGCGGACAAACGATGACGCCCGTTGGTCCGTGACGATCGGCAGGGTGGACCATGCCAATTTCAAAAAATGTCACACGATTCCCAAGCGCGGTACTTGTCGGTACCGGCATCCGTTGTAGTGTGTCCCGGTCTTCGTAACGGCCAACGATGGCACCAGGGCATCGCAGTACGCGAAGGAGGAACGGGCAACGGTTTTGTGGTGGTGACCGTCCGTTACGAAGAAGACAAACGGTGAGCACATGGACGGTACTGGGACAGTCGGCCGAGGGTCGGTCATCCGCTTCATACGTTGTGGCGATGATGAGGAAGTGGTGCTTGCTGGGTGTGGATGAGGTGGAGGAAGGTCTGCGGGCAGGCATATTCGTTCCGTCAAGCAGTTCGTCTTCATCGCCCTCTCTCCATGCCCTCCTCCCCCACATCTCTCTCGAGACAGGAGGTGCTGCCACGTGTCAGTACACCATCAAAGGCCCGGGCGGGCAACATTTCGAGAGTGGTAATGTGACCTCCGTTGGTGCCCTAGGGAGTGTGGTGCCTTGCCCTCACGCCTGTCACCCCACGCTTTCCGCTCACTCGTAGTGCGGCAGTGGATGTTGTGGTGGAAAGCAATGGCAGAGGGGTTCCATTGCCAGCCGCCCGCACGTCGCCATTGTCGAGCCGGAACTGAATCCACTCCCAGGAGGGCCGAAGGGTGGAGGATGTTGACGGCCACACGTCGCATTCTCGTTGGTGGCAGAACGTGTGCGAGCGTACGTCTGCTTTTCCTATAAGAAATGTGGTTGTTGTAAAACAGAGGCCGTCCAAGCTTGATCTTTGCGTGGCCTTCGCAGCACTGGCAGCAGTTGCGTTCGTGGCGTTAGTTGTGTTTTTGCTCGTCATCATCTATGTTGTCGCTCTCCTCATCGTCACCTGCCTTCTCCGGAAGTGAGCGTCCACATCCATGGATCAACAACATTGGTTGCGTCAGCCTCAACAACAGTTGTCTTCATCACCGGACTCTTTAATGGAAGATCGACATGTCGGGCCTGCCACCGATCGGCCTTCGCGTGCAACGCCGTTGCTTCCATGGCAGTACAACTCTATGGCATGGGGTTCACTGTTTGCAAGCTCCCTTCCACTCCTCCCTTTGTGGAGGAACAACCCCGTCGGCGCCCAGAACAACCATTTCGTCAAAACGGACATATTATATTTTTTTAACGAAATTGAAACTGAGTTTTTGGGCCAAAATCCGGTCCAAATTTTTGGCTCTTGGGGGTCCAGCATTCCCAGAACGCTGGACCCTCTAGATGTATCTGGTCTCTGCTTGAGGTCAGATACATCTGGGGAGTTCGGCGTTCCAAGAACGTTGGACCCCCCGGAACCAAAAATTCGGACCGGATTTCGGCCCAAAAACTCAATTTCAATTTCGTTCAAAAAATATAATATGTCCGTTTTTGACGAAATGGCCGTTCAGGGCTACGTTCAAGGCAGCGTTGGTCAGCTGAATATCCCGGCTGCCTCCTTCGTGAGCACCGGATATGGCGTTGCAGGGGGCCAGGGGAGCCTCCAACATGGCGGTATGCAGCAAGTCCAGGCGCCCCGTCCTTCACAGTTCCGACCGGCCATCGGCACCTCGACCGTCTAGCGGTATTGCAGGTGCAGTTGTGGCGCCGATGGAAATGTCGTCCATGCTCGTTCCACCCGTGAGCGTTTCCAATGCACCGCCATTATTGCCGACCTTTCCAACTGCTCCTAGGTCGGAGGAGGAACCCTCTACGACGACAGATGGTCCTACACGCGAGTCCGACTCAGGGAAAGCTCCAAACAAGCCATCAAGGAAGGCGCCTCACCCATGGTCCCCGAATGAGCAAGTGGCTTTGGCAAGGTTGTTTGGTGAAGACGACGCCCTATGTGCCTCTGCTTCAGGTCCCCACAGGTGTATGAGCCGACAGGACCGGTTGGAGTGGATATCCAAGAAGATGCGGGAGGAGGGGTACAGATGCAGTGGTGAAGACTGCAGGAAAAAATAGGTGTCTTTGATGGAAAAAGTGAAGGAGATAAATGACAAATGCGGGAGATCGGGCGGTGAGAGCTGCTGGGAGATGACGACAGAGAAGCAACGGGAAGACGGTGTCCACCCTGCCTTCGACAAGGTGCTTTGGGATGCTATGGCATAGGCGATCACGAAACCGTCGATGACATGTGATAACACCTTGTCTTCTGACAACATGCAGTCACCAAATGACGACGTGGCATCTGGAAGGACCGGTGGTGGTGAAGGTAGCTCATCGGGCAGCGCCGGAAGGGGGAAGACTGCTCGGAATGCGTCGGAGGGATCAGACAGCGGCACGAGAGCGAAAAGAAGTGCGTCGGGCAGGTCGAGAGAGAGAGAGACGGGACTGATGAATCAACCCAGTCTTTCTCCATTGCTATGCGCGAGTCGACAACGACATACTCTCAGAGGTTGGAGCAGGCGACGTTCACACTCGCGAGTGCTAGCACGAAAGGAGCCAAGATTCTGGGTGGGCGGATAGGGGAGATGGCAGGAAAGATCAGGGTTGTGGCCGATGCAATAGTGGGTGGAAATGAGGTGCTTGCGCAGCTTGTGGGGGTTCTGGCAACTCGGAGCCAGGGAAGTCGACGGGGGGGCAATTCCGATTAGGATGTTTCTGTGACAGCCGCAACATAGTTGCCTTTTCTGCGAACGTTTGAGTTTTTCGTCTGGTTTGTTTTTTTTTGGGGGGGGGGTGTTGGATCAAGGGATCAAATGTCATTTCTCCCTGACGTGACAGAGCGCGTGTGGATTTTCTGTGCGTGACATCATGGGCATCTTTACACTTCCGTGCATTCGTGTATTTCCTTTCGTTTTTAGTGGCCGGTTCATCGAGTGCGCATCGAACTTCGTTCCCTGCACAAGTCAATGGATTGGAGGAACGAAAAAATAAATAAATAAAATGAAAAAAAAAAAAAAAAAGAGTATAAAAAAATTACAAATACATGGTCGTGGGTGTTGAACGACGTTCGCGCGGGTCTATGTTAGTATTTAAATCGACAGTGACGACCTATCGATCAGTGTTTTGTCACTTCGCCGACGTTGGTGGATCATCGTTCGCGATTGGTGGTTCTGCACTTCTCGCGTTCTCCTGCCAACCGTGGATGGGCTCGCTCGTTCCGCCGCATCGCTCTGTGCTGCTTTTGAGAGAGAGAGAGAGAGAGAGAGAGAGAGAGAGAGAGAGAGAGAGAGAGAGAGAGAGAGAGAGAGAGAGAGAGAGATGGTGGACGTTACTGTCGTCTAGGAGATGGTGTGTGGTCGGAGAGCTCCGATCGATGAGTGTCGGTGCGCACCGGGTCGAAGGCATGGTCGTGACATACGTTTCTGCAACAACGTCAAAGGACAGAACGTCCGCTTTTATGAGGTCCACGTTAACGACATCGCCGCTATGGACATTGTCACCG